CCACGACCCTCAGTTCACACAGGCAGATGACAGTGGTCAAGGGGCTGTTGTGTGAGGTTATGTTCAATGGACATGAATCTCAAACGCGCAGGACTGGAAGAGGTCTTCAGAGCCGGCCTGGCTGTGTGTCTGTCCTCAGTCATGTCTGACTCTTTGGGACCGCATGAACTACAGCCCACCAAGCTCCTCCGTCCATGGGATTTTCCCAGGCAAGAATGCTGGAGTGACTCAAGTTTTCACTGGTATTAGCCGATTAAAAGAGGTTTTAACAACTCAATTTGCATAAACGTTAATGTGAAAGAAATCTATTTCTATAATCCACAGGTTTAGTATTTTAATATGCTCTTCCTCTTAAGGCTTGATTTTGATGAAGGCAGGGGAGTGAATGTGGTATTATATAGTATGTATCCAGAACGTGACTTCTACAACATTCTAAAGAGAAGACTGCATCTCCTTAGGGTGTCTAATCCTGTATGGCAAGTGACTCAAAGGGATATTTTAAATATTCAAGTAAAACACTACAAAGCCTGTTAGGTCCTACCCTAACTAATACTCAAAAGTAGTCTGGACCTGACTTAATGAAATCAACATCGAGGTATTTCTTTTGGCCTAAGAGTATCATGGAGTAGGAAATGGCAACCCGCTCTAGTATTCTTGCCTGGAAAATTCCATGGACAGAGAAGCCTGATGAGGTATATAGGCCATGGGGTCACAAAGAGTCAGACATGACCGAGCACATATACACTGGAAGAGCATCATGGGGCGGGGCGGGGGGGGGGGGGGGGGCGGGAACAAGAACCCAAGAGGCATTATGAACTAATAGTGCTTGCGACCTCTCTATCCTCAGGTGTTCCTTTCAAAGATTTTTGCTTTGGTTTAGTTAAGAAACTAGAGTGATTAACCCTGAGAATAATCTCCATATTATAATAAATAATAATCTCCATAATCTAATAACTATTCTCCCTGAGTAGTATCTGGAAAAGTAGGTATTTGGTGAATAATATGTGTACTGTTTTAGAGAAGGAAACAGAAGCATATTTATTTTCTACCAACCAGAGCCCCAGTTATCTTTCCACAGAGGTCATCGAGACTCTTCAGCCTGGGAGAAAAGCCATCTGGCTTAACACTTGATAGGAAATGAAAGATACAACATGTTATTATGTCCATGCGGATTCCCAATAAAGACATGGGCAAAGGGGAAACATACATTATTACACACTATGAGGATCTTAATAAAGCTAGGAGACCAGGGGAAAGAGCAGAACTATATCATTCAAATCCCTATTTAGGGTCCAGGGGGAGGCTCCAGTATATTTGCTGCTGCTTCCTTTTTTTTTTGTTAAAGTTAGAATGCAAACTAGAATTTCTTTAGTACTAGTTAAAACAATCTTTAAATATGTAGAGCCCTCTTTAAAAATCTATTCTCCAATCCTAAAAATGCAGATTATGGTCTTAACTGAAAGGAGGCAAGTTTCCTTAGAGAAATAGCCAGATTCCAGGTCTGGGACAGGATACGGACAAGGCAAGCCTAGAACAATGTCAGGAGACAGCAAGGAAGCAATCAGACCACCCGAATTATAGAAATGCATCAACGTGAAGAGGCTCTAATTGGGAAAGATAGCATAAGTTGTGCATTAATAAGGATGGTAATGTACTCGCTATTTAGAAAACCATTTTGCTTTTCCATTTAGAAAGTCTGAAATATGGAATAGTAGGTAAATTTTACTATTTAGGCTTACTGGTAAAATTAATCAAAATAGCTGTCCTTTTTAACAGAACATCCCCAGCTCTAATATAAGAGGCCTGTTTTCATTAGATCATTATTACTTAAAAAAAAAAAAAAAACCATTACTAGAAAATGATGGAACAACCTGTTTAAAAAGTGATAAAGAGAATAAAACCATCTAAATTTATCATTGTCCCATGTACCACTGGGTAATTAAAGAGAAAGTCAGGCAAAGTTTTTCTTCATAGGAATATTCCAGATAATTAATAAATGAAAACTAATAGAATGTCATCATATTTCAATTCCTAATGAATCAGTATCAATGGCTGTTGACATCTCAGATAGAATCAACCAGATGTTATCTGCCTCCTGATGGAAGAACAAACATATCAACTATAGTCTTGCAAAAAAGGAAAAAAGGAATATGGAAATAAAAATAGAGGAAGTCCTTAGATCCAACTACTAATTTACTGAAAATACAGAGAACTATATTAGAGGTACGCAATCAGTTAAGTCTAGTTTGTGGGTCAAAGTAGTTTCTTTTAAAAAAAAAGTTTAAAGTCTTAAAATATATACTGACCCACAGATCCTGTTGCAAATAAACTGCCAGGAAAATTAACATGAAGCAACTGAAAATCTAAATACATACTGGACATTTTATGATATTAAGGAATTATTACTTTAGATATAATAAGGGCTCTTTAGAATAATAGTCACAATACCATTACTTAAAAAAATAAATCCTTAAAAACACTGCCAGAAAGCTGAGACTTTAGATAGTGATCTATCCCTATCTTGCGTTATCCACGCAAGCTATGAGAAATGATACATCTCCCTTTCCCAGGAATACCATTCATTTAAAAAAAGGTTGGGGGGGGGCGGGGGGAGGTCACTGGGAACGTTGAGAAAAGTAAAAACACATCATCAGTTTCCTTATCTTAAAAATGGCAAGTTGATAGAGAATGCCTAAAATAATGACCAATAACCACCATCAAGCAATTCCCTAGGACCTTCTGTCAACATATCAGAAAACAATCACAGCTGGCACCAGTCCATGGTCCCAAATCCTAGCTACTATTAACTACTGCCAAATTGGAAATCTTTCTGAAGAAAGGCCTGTTATTAGAAGAGCTGGGATGTCTCAATTTTTTTTTAAGTACAACTATTTTAAAGAGCATGTAAGCCTAAATAAAACATACCCGTTAATTCATACCTAATTCTGAATCTCAAAGAACAGAAAATAAAAGCGTCCTCTACAAAGCTGGTTGGACGCATTTTAGGGACTCACTCATGATTCTTAAATTCTCTAGGCACCCCAATTTTTACAAATTTCAGAATATCCTTTGATCTGAGGTATATCTATACAACACATATGTATCTATGCAGCCCTTCTGCTTTGCTTCTACTAAAAATATGCAAAAACCTATGTGTGTGGGGGGCAGGGCAGGGGCTTCCCTGGTGGCTCAAAGGTTCAATCCCTGGGTCGGGAAGATCATTCTCACACAAAACCCTTCAAAAAGCTTTGAAAACCCACCAAAGGTACATCCAAACAAACGCGTGCAATATGGGCATTATCTTCTCTGAAATACTTTTCAAAAATGGAGGTATTATAAGTCCCACACATTCATACTATTTAGGATGAGGCTCTGATAATATCTTGCTCGTAGCAACTTTCCTGGTTCCTCAAATCCCCAAATTTCAAACTTTTTTACTAGTTCAGCCAGAGAATAAATGTATTATGAGATGTGTTTTTAAATGAAAACTAGAAAGATACTGATAGGTAACTAATACCCAAGAAACTGCAAGAGAGAAGGAAACATTCTTTAAGTAGCTGTGTTACATGGCAGACTGGATGGGAAGCATGTTTGGGGAAAAATGGATGTGCACTGCTGAGTCTCTTTGCTATCCACCTGAAACCGTCACAAGTTACACTCCAATATAAAATAAAAAGTTAAAAAAACAGTTACAGTAATTGTGAAGTTGTTTTTTTAAAGAGACGTACTGACCCAAAAGGAGTTCTCTAAAGGTCAAAGGTTTAGTAGGCAGAACATGTTTTTCTGTCATCAGTGCACACGATTCTGCAGGTGTCCCAAAGGGCACACTGGGCTAGTGCATCTAATCACAGTGAAGCCTCTTCTTAAACCACTGCTCATGCATTTCTGACTCAAGTCAACACCTGCTAACTGAGGACATAGGAAAACTATTCACATAAAATACTCTTTCTTGCAGAAATCCCACATACATCTCAGTGATACCAGCTAGCACCTGTCTATTTGGTATGAAGTCTGAAGTTGTTTTATCCCCATTTTATGCATGAGGAAGTCAAGTCAGGAAAAGGCTAAATTATATCAGTAAGGCCAGAGTAAGCAAGTGACCACAATTTAAAAAACAAAACCAAAAATAAAATCCCATTCTAGTTTAGAACAGTCTCACCATTTCTATTTATCCTTTCATCTGTTCTGTCCATTCTGTCACCTCCAATCCTATCCTCCTGGACCCATCCCAGAACCCATCCCACCTGTTCCCATCACCCATCACCATCCTTCCCTTCGGCATTCCTCACCATCCTTCCCTTCAGCATTCCACACCTGTACTCAGCACTGCATCAGGCACAACGATGGAGACACAGGAGGGTGGTACCTAGAGAGCTTGTACTTTTACCACAAGGCAGGCAAGATCATTTGCACCAAGGACAAATGATTTTTTGAAGACCTCCAGTGAAGACGTGTTGCCCAAAATCATACTTAACAGGTTTAAAAAATTTAAGTATGAACAACAGATCATCTCAATTCTTTCACTAAAGCTTACATATGCAGGACAAGTTTTAAAAACACAGTAAACTCCATCACCTGGCTAACTCGGTACAGCCTAAGACTTTAAAATGCAGTAAGCTCTGCTATTTGTTCCACCTATACCATCACATTTTAAAGTTTATTTTCACATGTCAAAGGAGAAGGTATACAGTCATACAGAACTGATATCTAGAATTATCTACCATGGTTTAATAATGCAAGTTTAAGATACACAAATGTGGAGAGGCACCTATTATCTATTTGTAATCATTTTTAAATGAATCAAAAGCTGAGCCATCTAGATTTTAATATCCTGTAAGGAAAACAAAACACATTTCATTCAACTATGAATCCTTTGATGACTAAGCAGCTCATGAATATGTCTCAACAACAGTGAAAAAAGAAGCAAACACCAGAAATGCATAGAAGCCATCATATAGTGGATGTGTGGAGATCTCCATGTGAAGTGACATCACACCTACCGTAGTGTCGTTGCTGGTAACATAAACCAGGACATCAGAGGAGTTCCTGCCACTGATATATCGGTAGCAGTTCCAAACACAGCTGATCAAGTAACCCTGCAAAAAAGTAGTCATTATTAGGACCTTAATTTTCAAACTTCAAATAATTTAATATATCGCCACAGATAAAGCCATATTGTAAAGTGTTTATTTACATAAACTTTAAACACACATTAACTCTACTATGCCATAAAGCCTTTAAAATTACAAATTCTGGGTACAGTAACTTTCTGGCCAAAGGTGACACTGCAGCCTTATTCTATCACACCATGCAGAAGGTGATGGGGAGGAGTGGGTTGAAAGTAGGAGAAAATTCCCAGGAAAAAGGAGTGAAAGTAGCATTCTCTACAAATGTTTATTGCCCCTCAGAGTTATAGAACAACCAATTCATTAGCCAAGTCTCATCACAGTTTAACCCTGGATCATTGGGATTTTTACTCTGCATCATCATATATAATTTTATTATACAAGTCAACTTAAAAAAAAAAAGAGGTTCACAGCGTGTCAATCTGCTTCATGGTCAATAAAATCCACTAAAACATTTCCATTTTCATAATGAAATATCCAGAGGATAATTAAAATTCAGGTTCAAAATAAAGACATACTAGAAATAAAGCATGAGCTCATGGGAAATGTTTAAAATATGAACTCTTTGCACTTTCATTCCCATCATGTGTAATTAGATTAAAATGAAATGATTTTAAAGGCCCTTTCTAGCTTTGAAATTCTTTGATTAAAAGACATTTAAAAATATGGAGAAAATGGAGCCCTCCTACATTGCTGTTGAGAATGTAAAATGGTGCCATGTGGAAAACAGCCTGGAAGTTTCTCAAAAGTTTAATAGTTACTGCATGACCTGGAGAGTCCACTCTGAGGTACTTACCCAAGAGAAATGAAGACATTATGCCCACACAAAAGCTTGTATTATCCATAATATCAAGAGCAAAACAATCCAAGTATCTGTCAAGACTGGACAAACAAAATATTCCATTGTATGATGTTTAAACAATGGAATATTATTCAGCAAGAGAGAAACTTCTGATACATGCTACGGCATGGATGAACCTTGGAAATGTCAAAGAAGCCAGTCACAAAGGATCACGTATTGTATGATTCCATTTACATGAAATGTCCAGAATAGGCAAACCCACAGAGACACAAAGCAGATTAGTGGTTACCAGGAGCAGGGGGTGGGGGTGAGGGAAAACACAAGTGGTAACAATGTTCTAAAATTACACTGTTTAACCACTGAGCTGTGTTTATACAACTCTGTGAATATATTGAAAACCACTGGATTGTACATTTAAATGGGAGAACTTTATGAGATATATATACATATGAGAATATATATATATGAGAATATGATATGTGAATTACATCTCAATAAACTTGCTTTACAAAAAGAAGACATTTAAAGACAAATGGGGTATGTGTCAACACTTTTCAGCAGAGTGAAGTAAAGGTTCTGTTGTGTACTCAGAAAGCTGTCTGAGGCTGCATTTGTACTTGGGGGTTACTATTTCCTACAGTTAAACTTTCTGTGATAATGTAAAGATGAAAATGTTCTTTATTGTGTAATGCTATTTTAGTAAAATGTCTTCTGAATGGCAATAATCTGAAACCAGAGAACAATGGTAAAGAGATGGAAAGGGTATTTTCCTTAACGTTGTACAAAGTATGTTCGATTTACACGGGATTCTCAGTTAACCCAACAATGTTCTTACTTCTCCATAAAACAAAAACAAACAAAAACCCTAGACTCAGTGAGAATTTTAATACAAATAAAAAAGGAATGCTTGAACATTTTCTGTTGTGTCCTGTGCAAGAAGATGTCCGCTATTTCAGCAGGGAACAGAAGGTTCTTTTTAAGGCAAGAACTCTTTCTAACATGAGGCTTCCAAAATGATGAACCTCCAACTGAAGGTTAAACCTGGAGGGGAAGTACCCGGTGTCCGGGGCCTCACACGTCCAGTCTGCACTCTTGGGAGCCCCTTGTAACACTTGGAACACACAAACACTCCCACAGGAGAAAAACCTGCCCTGATGTCTCTTAAACCCCAATAACTTACTTTAGTAAACTTACTTCCATTTGACACTTCTGTAATCTCGATTAAAGAATATTTGGGGTGCAGTGGATAAGAATCTGCCCGCCAATGCAGGGGACACAAGTTTGATCCCTTGTTGGGCAAGATTTCACATGCCGCAGAGCAAGTAAGCCCGGGGACCACAACCACTGGGCCCACGATCTAGAGCCCACAGGCTGCAGCTACTGAGCCTGTCAGCTGAGACTGCTGAAGCCTGTGCCGAGAACCTGTGCTCGCAACAAGGGAAGCCACCGCAATGATGAGAACGTGCATGGCAGCGAAGAGGACCCCCGCTCACCGTAACTAGAGAAAGCCCGGGCAAAGCAGGAAGACCCGGCACAGCCAAGAGTTAACAAAAAAATTAAAATGTTAAAAAAAAAAAAGAAATATTTGGTCTATTTTCCAAATGAACTTGCACTGACACGATTAAGTACACTGGTCGTTTATTTGGAGAGCTAGGTGGTAAGCGTTGTTGCTTGCCAACCAAGGACAAAGTTAAACTGACACAAGCCCTATTTGGGCTCCCAGGGACCACTAGCAATAAAACTTACTGAGGAGTTTAACAGTGAATTCAGGTTGTGAGAGGCAAACCGATACGTGAAAGCACAAAACATACATGTATTCACATTTGCTTTTTAACAATTACTGAGTCTCCACAAGGGAGAGAAAAATGAAGGTAGGATCTGTGTTCTCAAGGAAACACAATCTGGTTAGTAGAGAACAGATAAATACATAGTTATTAAGTATTATAATTATTACGTATAACACATTACTCACAGGTTGGAGACGGTGCTGTGAACAATTTGTACGAAGCCTTTGATTAGATCATTATGATTTGCAACTGATAATAGCATGACACCTACAGCAGCACCTAAGACGTGGCCCGGCACACGGGGGCTTTACTGGCTAGGTAAACGAGTGACGCACCTTCCTACCCGTTGGCTCATTTAACGTCACTGTCACCCTGCAGAATGTTTTCGTAGCTATTCCTGCTGTGAAGCAAAGGAAGAAACCGAGGCCCTGGTCACACAACTAGATACAGCAGTAACTGAAGCTAAATCTAGGTCCTCTGACTCAAAATCTCAAGTAAGCATTTCCAATAAAAATGTAAATGGCTACACAATTAAAATGCATTTTTAAAGAGCAGTTTCTGGGCAACGGCACAGGGTAGCTTGGTCAGATTAACCTTCTTGCAGGTAAAATGAGAAAATCTGGAATTAATAGACACAGAGTCTATAGGAAGGCATGGCTGAAGGGCTTCAATCGGGCAGAAGCTAAAGAGGAATCTAGCCTTCACTGACAAAGCTCAAGGGGTGGGATCTGACAGTCCGAAGCCTGTGCCAGGGGTGGTCTGGGGGTGATTGAGCAGTCAGGAATTTGGGGTGTGGGGGCAGGAGCTGCAGGGGCGGTAAGCCTCAACATCCGTCTATAAAACTCACCCAAATCCTCACCACTAAACCATATGTGCAATATCAAAAAATGCAGAGTGTGCTTTATGGAGAGAAAATGCAGACCTAAGTGACTTTCAATGAATCATTTTCTTTCTACTCCTCTTCAACAAATTGCTATGACTCTTCTCCCGAAACACAGCTTATTCAAGCTCATTGAGGCTTGATTTTTAAAGAAACGGGTAACTTTATGCCTAAATAAAGACAATGAAAGATACTCAGAATTAGAAGTTCAGTGTCTAACCTGAGAAATTTCTACTTAGGAGCGCACAGGTTCCAATAATTATGATGTTTTTATTACCAGATTTACAAAGACGAGAAAGTTAGAGGGCACTCAGTTGCTGAAGGTGAGGGAAATGTGGCTGAACGGAGTGTTAAGTCATTCAACTTTAGGGGAGGCCAATCTGACAACCTACAGAAAACCTTCAAATTATGCACATCCTTCTAATTTCAAGAAATATATCTTGAGGAAATAAATGTGTAAGTATACAAAAGATACATTTAATTTAATATATTCATTGCAGTACTATTTAGAAGTAAAAAAGTAGAAACTATGTCAATGTCCAAAAACAACTAATTTATAAAACTGCTAAGTTTACCCAATACATTGTTACAGAATAATGTTCAAAGTTTATTACGTTTTAAAAAACAAATGACCAAAAACCACAAAATCCTGTAAAGCAATTACCCTTCAGCTAAAAAAATTTTTTTAAAGTTAAATATGGAAAAAATATTTTTTTAAAAATCAAAGTACAAAGGGATGTGTACTGAGACACAGTAATGGATGCTATGGTACATAATACATACTGCATAAATGCACAACATTAATTTATTCACATCCAAACACATTTTAGAATAACCTTGAGTTGGCCTGTGTTAAGGTTGGTTAGTGTTTATTTCTGTCATACAGATAAGGGAAGGAACAAAACTGTTAGGAATTCAGAAAGCAGTTCAGAAATCTAAAGCAAGATAATAAATAGACAGAAATTTGCTTACTTCTGTGGCATTCACGAATACATTCAATAATATTTAGACCATAAGTAAAATTTTCATGCTTACCTTAAAAGCCAAGATAATGCTGATAAACAGAAGAATAATGAGGACCAAACAGGTAGGATTCACTGACATGATATCATCTTTGTAAGGAAAATCAGGAGGCTGCAAAAGAGAAGAGTCTTATTGGCAAATCTCATTAATTATCGAGCGTAGCAATGAAGACCCAGCACAATAAAAAATAAATAACTTTTAAAAATAAAAACTAAAGTAAAATACTGCCTTCTTTATACAGAGCATTTTTGCTGATGCTACTTCTCAAAGAGCAGAATCTTGTATTAATAGGTATTTGTAGCATTGGTGGGACCAATTGGTGGGATTGGTGGGACCATTGGTGGAATGGCAAACCCACTCCAGTATTCTTGCCTGGAAAATCCCAAGGATGGAGGAGCCTGGTAGGCTACAGTCCATGGGGTCGCAAAGAGTCAGACACAACTGAGCAACTTCACTTTCACTTTCGTAGCATTTTTAAAAAATCAAAACTATTATATACAGAATGGATAGACAAGGTCCTACTGTATAGCACAGAGGACTATATTCAATATCCTGTGATACTGTTAATAGGAAACTATTCTTTTGTGATAGTGGATATAGGAAAATATTCTTTTCCTATAATGGAAAAGAATATTTAAAAAAAGAACTCTGTATGTGTATAACTGAGTCACTGTGCTGAATAGCAGATTGGCACATTATAAATCAAGTATACTTCAATAAAAAAATTTTTTTTAGTACCAAGAATGTATATCTATGTGTAACAATTACTTCGCTGTATGCAGAAATTAACACTGTAAATTACCATTATAAATCAACTATACTTGAATTAAAAAAAAAAAGAAGCCCTACCATCTGACCAAATTGATTAACTACCAGGGCAAAGGAAACCCTTTTAAGAGGATTGAAATCTGCTACTATATATAGTTCCTGGGAATGACAGGACATCACCATAAACCATGTGCTCAGCACAGATCAACGCTCTCATGGTAATCGGCTTAGACAGTGTATGTCGAAGGCAGCTCCGTGTGTGGTCACCCTTCTTCTCTCCCCATCACCCAATACTATGTGTTTGGATCCCACTTTAGCAGTAATATGAGACTTAACAAAGGAGAAAACTCGTGACTCATGTGGCTGGCCCTCTCCAGGATGACCCTCACCCAATGGTTTTCAGAGTCCCCTTCCATTGTGGCAAAATACCTAAGAAATAAAATCTAAGTCGTTCCTTGTGATCAGCTCATCAAACAGGCCCTTGCCTCTTGGAACCTGAAAGGGCTGTCTGTAGTACTGATCTCAAAGGGTTAAGAAGAAAACAAATGGATGTTACTTACAAAACCAACATGAAATCTTACCGTTTCCAGAAACACTGGGGGGTAGGGGGGCAAACCGGGATTAAAGTGGGTGAGACCCTTTCCACAAAGATCTCTTACACTCTTTATGCCAGAAAAGTGAATGTGGTTTCTATATCCAGTTAAGATCTATTAAAAACACACGCACAGCTTATTTATCTGTGTTTTACAAGGCTTCACATGCAAAGAGCAGGCACTGGAACTTCTCTCCATCAGCCTTTTCAGACAAGTCTCCCCAGACTCACTATATCTCAACTTGTCAACAAGACCCTCAGTATCAGGGCAAGTCTGACGTCCGCTTTCATTGCTGTCTGCCGCTCAGGCACTGTGATAACCTGGAGGCCTTGCTCGTCCCGCCCAGACGGATCTTCAAGTAGGACATTCAGAAGATACCTACTTGTATAATTTGGTTTATACTTACAAATAAGAAGTAGATAGCAATTTTTTAAACTGATACCAGGATCACTGCCAGCGTCACCAACATGATCATTTTACTAGTGGGCACAGAATGACTGAACGACGCGAATGTGACAGGAAGTCTAGGTGGCATCACGAGTGCTCTAAATGCCTGCACGTCAGCCTTTCTCCTCCTTATAAACCTTACAGCAGTCACCTTATAGTCGTGACTCGCCTCTACTGCACAATGCCCTTTCCCAGCCCCTCGCATGACAGGCTACGTGGCGATCCTGTTTCCTCCACGATTCCCAGGTGACATTAGAAGCTCAGTGCCAGATTATCATCACAAAGTCAAGCCCAAGTCCTTAAAGACAAAGGTAATTTTACAACCTGCTGGTCACGTATAAACCCCTCACGCAGAAACATTTAGCTATTATTACAAGAAATAATACGTTAAGTTAGCTCATGGGAAAACACCAAAATTTCCTTGACACTACACTCAGAGACCTGTTTTCCAAGAAGCAAAAAGAAGCTATCTCCTACAGCAATGACCACCTGATACTTCAAAGGGACAAAACTCTAGAGGCTTTTCATACGCGGTCCACTGAGTGAGTACTAGCCACGTGACCTGGGCAGGCCCCCAAGAGGTCAGGAACTCCTGTTGCCACACTTCCAGCCTGCCTCCATCCCCTCCATGTCTCTTTTTCCACTGACCTTCTTGACCTCTGTTACCACATCAAACCCCCAGTCTGTGTTTTCATCCCAGAAAACAACCTGCTTCTTCTCCCATGCTCAGAAACTGCTACTGCAACCTCCAAAGACTGAACATTTTCTCCATTTAAAACATTCTTTGATTTCAAAGAAATTAAATTTTCATATACATTCATAATTCAAAACACAACGATTTAAAGACGTGAAGGCATGGATATATCCTAAGCTCACACCCTCCAAGAGCTCCTTAATAGCAAGCCACCCATATTCACTCATAATGTCACAAAGGACATTTCATAGAAAACCAAACCCCAAAAGAAGCTGGAGGAAGAGGGGGGTGGGGTGGGGAGGGAGACTGAGGGACAAAAAAAAAAAGCTGGAGGAAGAAAGGGGTTCTACAGTCAAATAAGTGTGAGAACCAGTGTATACCAAGTTTCCCACTTTCCATACACAGCAGAGGCAAAAAGCTACCCTCTGCTGATAACTGAGCAAATTGCACTTTACAAAAATTAGACAATTAGTAAGCAGCTTGTAAATTAGATAGGTACCTCCAACACCATCATCACCACTGATCTACCTCAGGGAGTTAAGTTTTCCCAAAAAGCATTCTAGGAAATTCAAAACCTTTATTCAAAGATCTCTAATCTCAGATGCCAGTTAAAAATTCACAAATTAAAAAAAAATATTCACAAATTATTATGTGTATGTTTCTCTCTACTTCCTTTATATCCGTATCTTGACCAAAGATAGGAATGTCTCTTTCATGTCACGAACAGACACTGCAATTTTGAAGGTCATGTACCAGCTGTCGTATGTATTCCTGGATGGAGTTTGGATAAACAAGTATGGTGACCGCAACCAAGGTGTTCAGGGCAAAATCAAAGATCTGGTAGCAGAAGAATGGGATGATCCAGGCCGCGTGTTGCTGAACAGAAGAGAAAAGTGTGTGTTAATATGCTTGGTATTACAAAACATTATTTTAATTCAGAGAAATCTTAATATGATGGGAAATGGAGAAGCAGAAATACATTAAAGCGGGTCATGATGGCAACTTGGTAAACCACACAAAAGCAGTCAACCGCAAGTCTCCAGTGAACGTTTCTGAGACCGTAACATTGGTTTTCCATGTAACATTAACAAGAGATTCAAACTTCCAAAGATTCCTACAGGAAACCGGGAACAATCATAACTTACTTCTTAGAGACAGCAGCACAGATTACACGTGTAAGAGATGGAGGAAAAGGCCCAGGACCTTGCTTCCAAGCTGCTTACCTTGTATGCTCCGTACGTAGCCATGGCACAGATAAGGATCATGAGAACAGAAATCGCGATGGCAATGCACATGTCTGTCAAAAGGTTTTTAAGAAAGAAAATCAGTTGTAGCTCCACTGTTTAACATTTCTTAGTCATTCTTCAAAGGCATTTTGTTTATAAACCTATTATAGACAAGAACTTTATACTAAGTATATCACCAGCATTCCTTTGGAATTTGAGACGACGATAATAATGGAAGCAAAGTGCCTGAAAATGTTCTCCTTAAATCATATATTTATACGTCTATATAAAATACCTGTGTCGGTCGCTCAGTTGTGTTCGACTCTATTTATAGATATATTTAATAGATAAATTAAGTCTATTTAACATATTTGATATTATATATATATTTAACATATTAACAATAATCTATATTAAATATATATATAAACATATCTATATATTAAACAGTTTGGTCTTCTGGGCCACTGAATTATATGTATAAAAACTGAGGTATTCTTTTAACAAATAGGTATCTAACTTGTACTTTATAATCTCACATGTCTCGGACCCCTATTAAAACTTTCCACAGGCTTCCTATCTCACTTAAAAATCTCCATTTCTTATCAAGGCCGGTATGTCTGTGTTTAGTCTAGAACCCGCTGACCTCTCATCTCCCCCACGTTTTTCTGCTCACCCTAATCCAGCCGTATGACCGAGTTCACTGAACACAGCAGAATCATCCCACTTCAGGGCCTCACACTTGCCCTGTAATATCTGTCATATTTTCACCTGACCAGCTTTGGCTGTTTTAATCATTCAGGTCTTGGCTCAACACCTCCAGGAGATCCTCCCTGTTCATCCTGGCTAATGTGGCCTCCCAGTCATGCCCACATGATTGCTGTATTTTCTTGATAGAACACATCACTACTGTCTTACTTATATTTGGTGCTTATGGACTGTCTTCCTCTGCTAGAGGAACTTTCCTGACGAAAATGAGTTTCTATGTCTCATTCACTACTGGTCACGTATAAACAGAAGGTGGCAGAAGGTGACATGCCATACGTGGGCACTGAGCCCTTGAACTGCAATCTAAAATGAGATGCGTTGTAAGATTGACATGTCCTCCACATTTCAAGGCCTTAGTACACAAAAAATTAAACTATCTCATTGATCATTTTTATCCTGATGACAAGCTGCAGTAATATTAGGGATATACTGAGTGAAATATATTATTAAAAGCAATCACCTATTTGAGTTACCTTTTTACATGTGGCTACTAAGAAATTTAAAATGACTTACGTGCTTGCACTGTATTTCTGCTGAACACTGCAACTCTAGTATAAAGCCTATATCCCAGTAGGCACAAAGGGAAGACTTCCTCAAGAGGTCGTGTCACCGTATTTTTTAAGAGATTCTGATAAGAAGTACAATAAGGCTGGATTTGTGAAGATAACATGCAGGGTTAGCATCAGGCTAAGAGAATACAAAAACCCTCGCAGTAAAGTTATCTGTATAGTGCTGTCAGTTTCCAAGGCATTTTCAAGGCTATCTCACTGAGTCTTCCTAACTCTAAGGTAGATGTTACTGTGCCCAATGAAGAGATTATGAAACCAGGCCTCAGAGGTTACGTAACTTGCTGACATGGCATCTGCATCAAAAGGCTAAACTATGACTAATCCTGCTCTTATGATTTCAAATCTGACTCTACTATTCTGTTTCTCCTTAAGCTTTAAATACTAACCAAATGAACCAATTTAGGCTGCCACTTCCTACAGGTATTTCTCCAAAGCAAAGCATTCTAGTTTTAGAACCATCTGCTCTATATCCTCAGCTTCAGAGATGAGAGGTTATTTCAAGTGGGAGGTTTACAAACAGAAGTACAAGGTCAAAATACTTTCTATGAGAGAATGCAGATAAATCGGGACTTCCCTGGCAGTCCAGTGGACCCTGCACTTCCAACGCAGGGTGGGGGCAGGTTCATCCCCTCATTAGGGAACTAGATCCCACACGCACCAAGGCCCAGCCAAAAAAAGTAAAAAAAAAAAAAAAAAAAAACCAAAAAACAGATACATAGGGTTTCTCTGGTGACTCACATGGTAGAGAAAGGATCTGCAATGTGGGAAACCCAGGTTCAATCCCTGGGTCGGGAAGATCCCCTGGAGAAGAGAATGGCAACCCATGCCAGGATTCTTGCCTGGAGAATTCCATGGACAGAGGAGCCTGGCGGGCTACAGTCCATGGGGTTGCAAAGGGTCGGACTCGACTGAGTGACTAACACAGACACAGATTTAATGCAATCAATTTATAATAAAGCCGATGACTTTTATTATTAATAGAGTAAAAATTTGATTCTCAAAAATAAATTTTTATAAGAGAATCAAAAGATGATGGGATGTCCCTGGTGGTCCAGTGGTTAAGAATCCGCCTGCCAATACAGGGGACACAGGTTCGATCCCTGGTCCCAGAAGATTCCACATGCCATGGAGCGACTAAGCCCCTGCACCACAACTACTAAGGCCACACGCCCTGGGGCCCAGGCTCTGCAACAAGGGCGGCCACCGCATGACAAGCCCGCACACCGCAACAGGAGCAGCCTCGCTCTCTGCACCGGGAGAGAGCCTGCGGGCAGCCACGGAGACCCAACATAGCCAGATAAATAAACTGATTAACTAAAAAAACGATGATGAATACTCATCAGTACTTAAGGAGTATGATTTCCTTTAGGATACACATGTATTTATAACTTTATAACTTTAATGCTAAATGACCTCACCTTCCCCTGTTATGTGGGAAGAGGTACCAATAGGGCATTTCACGTAAGCCTCATAGCCGTCTTGCAAGGCAAGTAACCTGCCCAAGACTGCCCAGCTAGCAAGTGGTGGATGAGATACTCTAGCCAAGAAAAGTCTACCTCCAGAAGCAATGCTCGTCTGTGCTACCCAGCTGTGAAGGAGACAGAGCAAATACAGTGGTGGAGGTCAGAGTCCTGGGATTCCACAGAGCCTCCCTAAGAGGAGCTGGACATCCCTTATTATGTGCAAAGCTTGTTAGAACCTGTAGCAATCTCTCAAAACTTGAACTCAGGCAGAAGTTCACTATTTTGTTAGTCTTCCTTTGATGGTTTTAAAATTCCGTACAAGTATCTTCTATAACGAGAAAAATTAATTTTATAAAAGCCAACCCATTGTGGGATACTCTTTGACTCCCTCATAGATTTTAAAAGAGAGATAGATAAACAAGCAAACTCAAGGCTTTATTAAAAAAAATAATATCAATGACCTTTATATTAACATAATTTATATAAGGTTATAATACAATTTATGTTATCTCTTATGTTAATATCAGACATATCAATGTTAATATAGAAAAATTTTAAAAATATATATAAAAATTAAAATCTTGAGTATTTTTATGTCCTATTCTGTCTAAAAAGAAAACCACTCCAGAACTAAATCTCACATAACCATTAAAAATTTTTTTAATTTCCATCTTTCTCAAAAATATAAAACTCAGGAGAAATTTAAAAGGCATAAATAAAATTATCCTATACCACCTAGGTGGTATCCTATCACCACTCACAATGAGATAACAGAAAAATGTTAATTTGAGATAAGGAAATTTTCAAAATTCTATTCCTATAAGTATATACCAACCACACTGAACAGAATGAATAAATCTCAAGCATATGAAACAGTTTAGGTAGGATCAAAGTGTAAGTCAAATAAAAACAGAGAAGATAAGATAAAACAGGCTAATATATCTTGTATCTCCTAGCAATCTAGAGAAGTCAACTCCTCTGAAACAAGGGTGTAGCATTACCGTGGCAAATACAAGAGTCACTCTGAAGAATTAAAATTCATTCTTTTTGTAATTATGTCAACGGGCAAATGAGGAACTGGTTCTAATAGGGATTTTTACAACCAGTAAACTACGGGTCAGTGACAGAAATATCCTTTACTCATTCTGTGCACGGTACACTAACTAGTCAGATCACACTGCCTCCAAGTTTGTTTCCTACATTAAATTCCTGGCTTAATGATGCAGTTTTCATTTGAAAAGGTTCAGAAGAAAAGCTACACCACAGGCCACAAAAGGCATAATTAGAAAACATTTCCTGACACACAGCCAATCACTGAAAACAGAAAAGGAAATGCCTTTGTTAAAGTTAACCTAGTTCTTTTTCTACTCTCCCTTTATGTTTCTTGGATTTTCTTTCCATAAAACTGGTAGCTAGGTAGATAACTACCTGATTTACATTTGTATTCTTACCTGCATTCTTTTTTTTTTTTCTTACCTGCATTCTTATGGCTCACTTTTCTCTAATTTTTGGCCACATTTTTGGCTTCTGGAAACAATATTTGAGGTATATTTTCACAATTAAGTCTAGAAGAGAACTCTTTTCAGATGTATTCACAGCAATAATATGAGCCTACTGAGAGCAAAATACAAAGCTCCCCCTTGCCTCCCACACACACACGCACACACACAAAAACAAAGCCCTCATCCAGTTCTCTGCTCCCAGCAGGCAGACTCACATGGGCCATCATCAACCGGCCTGCATTACCCTTTGGCATCAGAGAGAATAAGAGGCTGACCCCTGCTGTGAGGCGGCCTCGGGTTGGCCCTTAACCAAAGATAGCTCTGTGCTCCCTAGAAAGAGGTCAAGGCTCCTTCATATCTAGGGACAGTTAACATCTGGCCTTGATCAAGCAAATTACATCACCACCCCTAGTAGTCTTCTTAGACCTACATCTCTGTAAAAAGATCTTGAAAATAAATATTCACTGAATTACCTTTTTAGAAAAATAAGATGGCTAACAAGGTGTAGAATACACAATCTTTTGAGCCACATGATTTAAAGGATAAAAAGATGAAAAGGATGGAAGGGTAGGAGGGCAGATGGATAAAACTAAAGGGCCAGGATGGTTCCTAAGGCTTCACTTCCTCTGCTGTTGTATTTGTATGTCTATTTCCTCAAAACATGGGGATGTGCTCAAGTGGACTGACTGCCCAGCTGGTTTGGGGGTATGTTAATAGAGAGCAAGTAGGCAACCTGAGCCTTTTCCAATGCGGTGCCAAGAGCCATAGGAAAGGCCCCAGCTGATCTTTTTTTCCCCTTCTATTTCTTAGCTATCATCAAAACTTTCAAACACACACAGTATACAGAGAGTGGTATAATGAACCCTCAGCACCCATTTGGTTTGGATGGTTTTATCTATGATCACTTCACTTCGGTCCATTCTACCACTGGGAACAAGAGGACTGCTTCCAGTTTGGGGTTATTATGAACAAAAAGCCTATGGCCATCTTTATACATGGCTTATGAGGGACACAAGCATTCTTTTCCGCAGGCTGCATACTGAGGGATGAAACTGCTGGGTCATAGGGTGGGTGCACATCTAGCTTTAGTTTTCCCAAAGTGGTAGATTACACTCCCATCTGTGGCTTGAGAATTTCGGTGGCTCCACAGCCATCAGGGATACTGTCAGTCTTGTCCAGGCTGCCACTCTGAAGGGGCGTCATGAGTCACTACTGGGCTTGTAATTTCGAGCTCTTTTATATCCAGTAATGTGAAGACTATTTTCATGTTTCTTAGTCATATGAATACCTTCATTTGTGAAGCATCTGTTTTTCTCTTTCTTGATTTCACACAGAACAATTTAAAGACCACCCTTTCTTCAACAAACGTTATCTTAAAAGAGATGTCTATATATGGTAAACAAATTCTTATTATTCAAATGGTCATTTCCTTCCCAGAAACAAATTTCTTATTATTTTAATGGTCACACATTATCTGCCCAATGAATAAGTTTTGGACTTCCCTGTAGCTCAAATGGTAAAGAATCTGCCTGCAATGAAGGAGATCCATGTTTGATCCCTGGGTTGGGAAGATCCTCTGGAGAAGGGAATGGCCATCCACTCCAGTATTCTTGCTTGGGAGACTCCCATAGACAGAGAAGCCTGGAGGGCTACAGTTTGTGGGGTCACAAAAAGTTGGACATGACTGAGCAATTAACACACACACTCAAGTTAAGTTTGGCTTGAAAGATAACTTTGCTGCAAAATGAATCAGAAATTGATTGGGATAATCTATTTGGCATGTTTGGCTCTGAAACCTCCTGTTACAGTTTCTTGCCAGCCCACTAATATTTCACAAATAAAACCATGAAATCTGTTTATCTGAATTTTACCTGTTTCTGCTTCCTCCCTAATGTCCTTTTTCTGTTCCAGAATCTAATCCAGGGTCTCATACTGCATGTAGCTGGATCTCCCCTGTTTCTTTAAATCTATGGCAGTTTTCTAGTCTTTCCTAGGGTGTTCCATTTTTTTTAACCATATAAATATGTTTATAAGTTGTAAATGTATTACAAGTTTTTGTACATAAATCATGTAAAAATACATTATGTTCAAGAGCTAGCTGTTTTTAAAAAGAGACATCTTGATTTTCTTTCCTTTATCCCAGTGGATTCTCCTATATCCTCCATTTCAATGTAAATCATAGGGATCTCACCATCTTGTGAGATACACTCCTGTTCTGTCCTGGATAAAATCTTGAGATGGCTACCGCCATTCCAAAAGGCAACAATGTTAAATTGCTATTCTGCATACTATAATTTTCAAGCACAATTCAGAGCAATTGACCGTACCCATTTCAAGTTCTATACTCGTGTATGTTAAATATAGAAAGGGTTGTCAGCCATGATGACCTTTGACCCACAAACATTTTTTAAAAATAAATTTACTTATTCATTTATTTGTGGCTGTGCTGAGTCTCTGCTGCTTGCTCGGGCTTTGCTCTAGTTGAGGTGAGCCAGGGGCTACTCTCCAGTTGCAGTGGGTGTGCGTCTCACTGCCACGGCCTCTCTTGTTGCAGAGCAAGGCTCAGCACTTCTGGCTCACAGGCTGTTGATCCACAGCATATGAGATCTTGCCAGTTCAGGGATCGAACCCATGTCTCCTGCATTGGCAGGCGGATTCTTTATCACTGAGCCACCAGGAAGTCCCCAACAAACTTCTTCTTAAAAAGAGATCAAAACATATGAAAAAGGAAATGTAAGAGGAAAGCAGTTAAGAAAAAGATTCACTCAAGTGAACGAACATTTATCCTTCTGTATCTTTTCAACCATGTGATGTAAAAGATCAATAGATTGTCCTAAAAGTAATTATAAACCATTTCTTTCAAAGATATGAAACTGCAAATGCACTGGAATTAGTATCCAGGTTATTACAAAATAATTACTGTTATAAAGCTTTGAGTACCAGCAAGCCTTTAAAGTCAGCTAAATTAAGCCAATACTGTTAGGCAGTCACTACTCAGCTTAATCTCCGGCAATTAGAACAAGGCAGTCAGTGTCACTACTTGATTCAGATACAACCGTAGCTGTATCATTTAAAGTTTCTTCTTCTAACCTCAATTACTTAGGAAAGGAATCCTACTACTGGAAATAGTGAAAGATAAATTACTTCTAAATTTCAATCAAATATTACATTTATAGCTTGCATGGCCTTTTAACTCAAGGGAAGGAAGGCAGAGAGATATTAATTTAATATTAATGGAACTCATTATCCTTTCTGGGGGAATTCACCAGAGTAACAGGATTGTCCAGAATAGAGAGAATGAGCAATGCTACAGCAGAAGTCACGTCTGTCTGACAGGTCCCGCCCCCAGGATGATTTAACGCCCTGACTCCTGTCTCTACTCTGAAGCTTGGAGGTGGGAGAGGATGGCTGTAAAGTATCTCCTGGTTTCCCATTTACTTCACTTCCAGCCCTTCTCAGGCTGCTCCCCCTGATTTCTAATTTCAGGGCTCCTACATGACCCAATCCTGCACTTTTTTCTCTTTACTATCTCCCTACTGTAAATGTCTTTTTGAAACTTACGTCCTCAAATTTACCCCTTCCCAGACATCTGGGTTATAGATTCACATACCCAACTACCCTTTTAATCTCTCCACTTTGCTATATCTAAGTAAGGAACAGCCTATAAACCAGTGAAATATATTGAGCGCTTATTATGGCCCAGATCCCATTTGAGGCATTTTTCATACACTAACTTAGCAACCAGAACAATCTGAGGAGGCAGATACTACAATCATCCCTATATTCAGAGGGGGAAACTAAGTCACACAAACGTCATTAACTAACCCAATGTTAGCCCATTTCACACACAGCAGGGTCAGGTTTCAAAGTATGGTCTGGCTTCAGAGCCACACTCCTAACAACTATGCTAAGCCAATAAAATCAGTTGAGTTTTCTTGGCCAGTGCCTTCATGAAATCAGTAGGTCTAACCCAAGGCAATGAACTGGTTTACTAGGCTTCTAAAAGTCATCTAGGAAGGAAATGAAGTTAGGCCAGTGATTGAGATGGACAAACTTGCTCATTTTGGAATGCTTACAATAGATGTGTTGAATAAGTCAAAATAAATAAATAAATCAGTCAAGTTCCCTGCAAGGTGTGTTCCCATTTCCAAACTCTCTCACTCCTGAAAAGATGCAGGTCATATACTCAAGATGGAAAGTAGGAGTCATTTTTGATTCCTCCCTTTTTCTCACTGCCCGTAGCAGTAAGCTGTCGATCCCATCTTCAAACCGACCTTCTTTCCCCATCCCCAGTGTAGCCTGGATTGCAGAGAAACACCCCCAAACCCAGTGTCCGGGGCCTGTACTCCCACACCCAGCCCCCTAATGCACCTCTACTCAGCAACAAAAGGATCTTCTGAAAACACACATCAGTTCATAACCACGAAATACTAAAACGACTTTCTCACTGAGAATAAATTTCACAAGTCTCACCATGTCTGCTGAAGGCTCTTAGTCCATCTCTTAACTGCACCTTCAGCCATTCTCCACCTTACTCACTTTGTTCCAGACACATTTTTTTAATGCATTTAAAGTTCTGCAAGGCCAGTGAAAATAAACTTGCATGACCTTTTGTCCGGACTGTGCATAGCACTCTTCCTCTCAGTCAGCATGGACACAGCATGACTGTAGTTATAAAACATTCAGGCTTCCCTGATCTTGGGATGTGTGTGGGGAGGTGGGGGTGGGAGGGGGTACCTAGCCTCCTTTCTGCACACCCCACATCCACATCCCTGTGTGCATTTCTATTTATCTGGAAAAAGCAACAAAATAACCATCAGAAGCCTTTCTAGAATGGAGAAAGATCACTTTCTGAAGGAAAGGTAAATACTGAGAGATAAAGACACAATAAGATATGAAACTTCCTTCCTGACTCCCTCTCCCCCTCAAAGAGCCAGAAGGCCCAGGGTGTAAAAAGATTCACACAAAGCAAAATTTTAAAAAACAGGAAAGTTAACGTAAGAAGGGAAGAAAAGAAAGACGAGAGAGATGATGGAGACTCCTGCCCTTAGAGGCAGACAGAACATATGCAGCACATAAATATTTGTCGTCCTGATTTGTAACGACAGGAAGAGAGTGAAGCATCAGTTCAAATGGACCCATGAATCAATATTTATAATCTAACAGGAAGAACTGGCAGCCGGATTCCCTGCCCTTGAAGATACCAAAATATCTACAATTGTCTGATGTACTTACTGGCATCATCCATGAACTCAAAGTCACCCCCGAGTTCAGAACTTGAAAAGTGGTACTGATCTGGATCAGCCAGGGAGCTCAACAGAATCAGTAGTACCACGGCATTGAGGATCTGCAAGAAGAAAAGAAAAAAACCTTAACGAACCCCAGTATATGGCCCTTACAACACAAAATTAGAGGGACCACGTGGAGTTTAACTTCAACAGTTGCTGGACTTTCCACACAAAGCCCCAACCTCAGAGGGAAGAGAAAAACATTCCCAAGGCAGAGACATGGCCAGTCCATTCATGCAGCCAAGGGCACGCGGCCTGGTGTGCAGGCGACAACTGGTTTCAGCTCACTGTCCCCTTGGCCGGGAACCCTGGAGCACTGCAGAAACACACAGAAGCCCTGAGGCCAGTGGCTGGAAAAAAACTCTCCAGCTAGTCACACGCTCTTTTCAAGCAACCTCAAGTTTGTTCAAGTGACCAAACATTGTCCACGGGTTCAGACAACAAGAGTTACGAGCACATCCAAGGAAGGGTGGCAGAGAATGAATGCAAAGCTATTTCATGGAAGATCCTTAACTTCCGCAGTGGCACAGGCCAGTCTATCCCAGGCCCCTATTTCTGTTTTCCGGAAACTACTGAATACATTTCCCTCGGGTACTTCAAACCCAACCTGTCTTAAGCAGAAATCAGCTTCCTTAACATCACTCACCTCTCATCCTCCTTTTCTGTTCTCTATCTTTAAAAATAGAATCACGGACTTCCCTGGTGGCCCAAGGGTAAGAATCCACCTGCCAACGCAGGAGACACGGGCTCGACCCCTAGTCCGGGAAGATCTCGTATGCCTCGGAGCAACCAAGACTGTGTGCCCTAGAGCCGACGATTCACAAATGAGAGTAGCCCATACTCGCCGCAACTAGAGAGTCTGCGTGCGGCAATGAAGATCCAGCACAGACAGAAATAAAATAAAAATGTATAATATTAAAATGCAGAACTGCCATTAGTAATTGGAAGTGGAAAACATTCAGGCACTATGCTAGGTGCTTTATGTGGAGTTTCTCTCCTTAGTCCTCCAATAGCCTCATTGAAGTAGGTGCTAAATTATCTGTTTTGTAAATGAGAAAACTGACGCTTAGGGGTTAAGAACGCTACTGAAGATCAGGCAAATAAACTGGGATTGAGATCCAAGAATTTCAATTTGAAAACCTAGCATCTTAAATTCTCTTCTTTTTACTCAAACCTTGATTATCTTTGGGCTTCCCATCCTCCTTATTCCTTACATCCCACCAACTGCGAGATTTTGCCCACTTCACTGCAGCGTTTCTAGCCTTCTCTTCGCCAACTGCCCCGCTGCATACACAGGACCAACACTGATGGGGCTGGAGGTGAGGCAGGTTTTAGAGCTTAGGTGAGGCTCCAGAAGGGATGGGTCATTTCTCCTTTTTTTTAAATTGAGAAACTTGAGATAGAGCTCTGTGTTTCACACTGGTCAAAACAGAGAAAAAGAGGAATAACCTTCATGCATAAAGAAAATTCTTCTACTAACAACAATAACTAAAGGCATTTCCTCCTGTAAAAATTGGGTTTCCTAAAGCAGCACTAAAAGTTGGTAAAGAATCTGCCTGCCAACGCAGGAGATGCAAGAGATGAGGGTTCAATCCCTGGGTCGGGAAGATCCCCTGGAGAAGGAAATGGCAACCCACTCCGGTATTCTTGCCTGGAGAAATTTCACGGACAGAGGAGTCTGGCGGGCTACAGTCCATGGGGTTGCAAAGAGACAGACATGACTCAGCACGCGCACACACACACACTACACACACATACACTATTAAAAATCATATTTGGAAATACCAAGGTACAGATTTTCATTTTACAAAATACCCATTCTAGAATCCAATATGAAATGGCAACCCCAAGTGGTTGTTTTAGGATTGTTGTATAATTTGGAATAACCTTTTTTCTTCCTTTATTTTCCCAACTGTCTAACGTGGTCAGACTGCTTTTTCAAGGAGTTATAATAATGAGTGGTAATTTTCCAGAACATATATATAATACTCATTTAAACAGATACCACAACATGTGGTTAAAATTTATGTACAAAAAGGTATACAGCGAACATTAAGTCTCTCTCCTATTCCTACAGTCAGCCTCCCCACAGTGGCTATTAGAACTGCCGGTTTCTTGTTTCTCTCCAAAGAATCAAGAAATTTCACAGCAGATTTTAAAGAGAGTATGATTAGCGAAACTCTAGTTGAAGAAAGCCTTTCAGAACATATCTAAAGCTTAAAGGAAAGTATGATTTAGATTTAGTCCCACAACTGGCAGATGATTTAGCAAAGAGCTCTGCGAAATCATCAAGTTTTCTTGGAATTTTATCCTCTTTTCATTATTATCTTTGGATAAGATTATGGACTAAAATAAGATCAGAATGTGTTTCAAAAAGTAAAACATCAAAGGCAACGCACTTACTTCTGTTATCACACTGGGTCTGAAAAAAACACACATAAATCTGGGATTCATGGGTGAAGCTTTAATGTAGGAAGGACTGGAGTTAAGGAGGGGAAAAAATGGAAAGGTGAGGAGGCGGTGCAGTGAGTCTGGTCAGAAAATACAGGCCAGATTTAGGGATCATGGAGGTCTAGTTTCAGAATCTGGGTTTTATTCTAAGTATAACAAGAAGCCAGTGGAGGGACTTCCCTGGTGGTCCAGAGGTTAAGACTCCACACTTTTAATGGAGGGGGCTTGGGTTTGATCCCTGTTCAGTAAACTAAGATCCCAGATCCCACATGCCTCGAGGAGCAGTCAGAAAATAAACAAAAGCCAATGGAGAATAATCTGAGGTTCAAAGGAGTATATTAGGAAAAACACCTAGAAGAGTGGCTGGCATGTAACAGTGACTTAAAATTAGTTGCCTTACGTCTACAGACCTCAACAAGAACCGCAGAAAGGCTCTTGGCTGGCATCAGAAAATTATCTGGTTCCAATCTTCCAGACAGGGCTATGCAGCTGCATCCCTGTCCTTTCGGTTCCAGTGGACCTGTCAACTCTTTTTTTTTTGCCTGTCGACTCTTGATCAGCTTGTTATTATCCCCTTGACTTGGTTTACTTATCATAATACTTTCACTAATTGCCTCCAGCAATTAGTAAAATTGAGCAGATGCTTTGCTAAGTGCTCAGGAAGAACCTTCCAGGATTCAGGAGGGTAAATAAATCATGCACCCAAATAACACAAAGCAAAAAAGAGGAAGCACGACAAGACTTCAGAGAAAGAATAATGGAAAATCAGAGCAAGTTATTGCAGGAGCTTGCAGCTGAGACTGGGGTCACGGGGAGGTACAGTGGACACGGGAGCATCAGGACAGGGACTGGAAAAGCGAGAAGGTTCTGGAACCCAAGAGAACAATTTTGGAAATTCTCCGGCAGTCCCAGTGGTTAGGACTCAGCGCTTTCACTGCTAGGGCCTGGGTTCAATCCCTGGTTAGGGAACTAAGACCCTGCAAGCCATGTGGTGAGGCCAAAAAAAAAAAAAAAAGAGAGAGAGCAATTTAAAGTGTGAGTGAGGCCGCTGGAACAGGGGTTTGTGCTGAGACCAACAAGCAGCTGGATTTGGTTAGAACACAGTAGACAAAGGAAATCGCGGGGGGCTGAGACCAGAAAGGCAAGCTGCGGGGCTGGTGGGTCCTCAAACCAAGCAAAGAATGTGGGGCTGTGTCCAAATAGTTCACGAGGCAACTTGAAAGGATTTTGAGGCGGGCTATGACGTGATCTGAGCTGCTGTGAGCAAGATGGAGCTGGGAGGGGCTGCGGGGGCTAAACTGGTGGCCAGAAAGCAACCAGGAAGCCCCTCAACAGTCTGGTTGAGCAGCAGTGAGGGTCCTGATCCATGTCACCCCGATTCTCATGACAGCCCTGTCACGTTTGTCATCTTACGCGTCGGTTTGGGAGGTTAAGTGACTTCTGTCTTAGGTCCCGTGTGTGGAAGAGCCAAGGCCTTTCCATGTGGAGGGGAAATTACTAGAGACATAGGAACTGACAAGCTGCAAAGACAAAAAAGAAGCAAAAAAAGAGACCGAAATTCCAAGCCTGGGTGACAAAATCTAGTCATTATCAGAAATAAGGACTATGAGAAAGTTGATTTTAGGTGGGAAAAGCACTTGCATATATGTGCACGGCTCAGTCGTGTCCAACTCTCCTGACCCCATGGACGGTAGCCCGCCAGGCTCCTCTGTCCATGGGATTCTCCTGGCAAGAATACTGGAGTGGGTTGCCATTTCCTCCTCCAGGGGATCTTCCCAACCCTGGGATTGAACCCACGTCTCCTGCATTGGCAGGCGGACTCTTTGCCACTGAGCCACCGGGGAAGCCCACAGTACTTGTAGGCTGTCCAGCTTATCATGTCAGCTCAGCCACGTGGCCTGGAAGCCTTTTTATTCAGCCTTTGGTCCTCAGGCCCAACCTCTGGGTGTATCTGTCTAACCCACTTCTTGACGGCCTGACTCGCATCCTGAGTGCTGCTGCCCTCTCTCCTGATCAGTCTCTGAATGAGTCATATCGTTCCCAATGTCCGAGTTCCAGCTCCTGCTTATGTGTGTTCTTGCTCCCGAGCGGGTCCCAGGTCCAGGAGACAGATAACACCAAGACGTAATGGCAAGGTCATCACACATCACCAAAGACTCACCACTGCCCCCTTTTAATCCCTGGGTGAAACCTTCGTAATAGAAGGTCTGTGTGTTGCCACACGTTTACTGGGTTATTATATGAAACCTCAGGTGTTAGATGGGAATCCGAGACACCACGCAGGATGTGAACGCAGGAGGCTAACAGGGTGACCCATGAGGACCTAGGTCCGTGTGAAGGGGAGACGGGGGTGTATGTGCAGAACTAGCCACGGCAGATAGTGGTGGTCAGATGGAAAAGGTCAAATACAAGTCAAAGACCCCAAGAACATCGGAAAGAAGCACTTCCCAGAAAAGAGAACACAGAAATCACCCCGTCATCCATTCTGCCCAAGAATGAAATGTCACCACCAAATGAGAACCAAGAAGACGGTTAGGACTTTAGGATTTGCCAGGAGCACATTACGTAAAGACCGTAGCTAATCAAAATGTAAAAGAAAGAGAGGGAT